ACCTTCAACTTCCCAGGGTCTCTTTGGCGCTCCAGCACACGGCTACTGCTGGCACGTCCTGGGCACGCAGCACACGTTAACCCTGGATAACAGTCCCTTCTAGACACTACCTGTCTGCACCATGGTAGTTTATATTCGTAATTGGCTCTCGAGCTAAAAAAAATTCTCAAATACCTTCGAAAGGGTCCAAGAGAGATGGGATTGTATTTAGTATAGTTTTAAAGATAAACGTATGAATTTTATTGCAAATGTTTTCCCAAAGTTCCTTTTGGTGCTGAGAACACATTTTCTCACCAGAACAACATTGTAAGTTGAGTTACTACACAAGCCTACAAAAATGTCATTTTCTGCTTCATGCACGCTATACATTGCTGCCAAGCAGCGACACCTCGCTCTACCCCTGCCTACCTGGATTTCAGGAAAGTTATGCTCTGGTGCCTGCCTCACTGGATGAAGTGTGGTTGGCCGAAATGAGTCATGTCCCTCGTGATCGGGCTAGGGGTAGGCAGGCGACCCATTTTAGTTCAGTGAGGTGTGAGGGCGTTTCCTACCTGGATGGAACACAAGCCTCCAGAAGGGAAATCTCTGTCCCCACCCCTCCTCCTTTGACATATTGTCATGACATGGTGCCTGGCATGATAGTGCCTACTGCTGATGAGGTGAAAGCATGAAGAAAGACCAGAATACGGAAGATAGCACATGGCTGAATTGCTGAATGAACTGACTACCTCCAGACTCCTCCCCCTTAAGCCATAAATATCCTGTGCTTTAAGCCACTGTGAATTGCTTTGTGTTACTACTTGCAGCCCTATGCATTGGAACTGAAACAAATACTTAGCATTCTCCTAGGTGGAAATTATTCCAAGCTCCAGGGAAAAAAAAAAAGACCTGGAACATTTCATTCAATTCAACAAACTTTCGATGTGTGCTAATGGGCCAGACGCCCTGCAAAGTGCGGCAGGTCCTAAAGATGGTTCAGAGACTTGCCTCTGCCTTCAAGGCAAACATAAAACTGATTCTAAAATGTATATGACAATGCGAGGTACGCAGAATAGTTAAAGCAGTCTCGAAAAAGGACAAAGTTGGCAAGACCCATCCTTCTCATTCTGAAACTTACTACAGAGCTATAGTAATTAAGACTGCGATGCTGCCTCCCCCTTAGCATAAGGATAGACATACAGATCAATGGAATAGAATTATAAGTTCAGAAATGAACCCATACCCCTATGGTCAATTACTTTTCTAGAAAGGTGCCAGGACAATGCAATGAGGAAAAGAGTAGTCTTTGCAACAAATGGTGGGTTCACATGGAAAAGAACAGCCCTGGACCCTGCCCTCATACTAGGTACAAAAATTAATTCAAAATGGGTCAGATCTAAATGTAAGGGCTCATACTATAAAACTCTTAGAAGAAAACTTAGGTGTAAATCTTTGTGACTTTGGATGAGGTGACGGTTTCTTAGATATGACACCAAAAGCACAAGCAACCAAAGGAGAATAAGCTGGAGACCAGGTGACGTGTTCCGGGCCAGGGAGGGGCCCTCTGAAGGTCCGTTTCTAACTCCCGGGGGACGCCCTGCTCCTGACGATGGACACACTCTGAGCTTCAAGACTGAGGAGATGCAAGACCATTTAACTGTGTTCACCCACCTTTGAAGGCCAGAGAGAGATTTTTTTAAATTGTTATTATTGAGATATAATTCACATACCATAAAATTCACACTTTGAAAGTGTACCAGCCAATAGTTTTATTTTATTCACAGTTAAGCAGCCATTACCATAATCAATTTTAGAACATTTTCATCACCCGGGGGGAAAAAAACCCACACCCATTAGCAGTCACCCCCCCGCCAGCCTTCCCCCCAGCCCCTGGCAACCACTAGCTGAGCCCCCCCACCCCCACCCCCGGAACAATGATATTTTTGTTACTGTGCCACGTGCATACTGGACCCTTTCAATTTGGAGAGTCACATCCTTCGACTTTGGGAAATAGTCTTCCATTACTTCTTTGATAATTCCTTCCTTCCACCTTTTCGTTCTATGTCTGTCTCCAGTTAGCCAGATGTGGGGCCTCATGGGTTATGTTTTAAACCTCTAACATTTTTTCATATTTTAAATCCTTCTTTAATTCTATTTTTTGGAGATATTTTATTGTTTGCCTTCAGCCTCCTATTGAATTTTTAACTTCAGAATATACGGGAGGTTTGGCGTTTGTTTGTGACATTGCTCTTGCTTGGCTGGTGGGCACCACGGTGGGTGGGACAGAGGAAGGGCACGCTCCGCTTACACCTGTTCTTAATTTTCAGCCCCAGTTCGGCCGCCTCCATTGTTCTTGGTGTTTTGGAGCCTCTCCTGGGTCTGCAGGGCAGACTGGGTCTTGTTTGGGCTGGAGGCCCAGGCCGCTCTCCCCCTGGCTGGAGGCTGAGCCTCCTGGGCCGATCCCTCCCGCCTCTGCCTGCTGCCCAACAAACGTGGAGCTATCTTCCGCCAACGGATGCTCTGTCCTAGTTTGCTTTGTTATTGTCCCAACAAACTTAAAACATTTTTTCCTTTGCTCTCATTTTAACAAAGTCTCTAGAAGGAAAGGCGTTAAATTCGTGCATTTTCTGTTAGCTTCATTAACAGGAGTTTCTTTTTCACCATGTATGGAGCCATGGACCGTGAACACTATCTTCTGATTTTTATAAATCTACCTGTTTACTGTCATACTAAACATTAGTTTGAATTTCTTTTCTTCTCAGAACTTGTAAATAATTATCAGCTCTAAGCATTGCCTGGGAAATGTTTTGTTTTCTTTGTGTTCCCTGTCATATGCTAGTAATTTTCAGCAAGGCTGCATTTATGTGAATTTGAATTGGGAAAATATGAACTCAAAACATTAATGAAACCTCACATGAGCAACCTTTGAACATTTCAAATCTCCCCAATTAAAAAATATTTGCTTTTGTTAATTAATGAATTAGTGTTTTGGACAAGAATCCTTTCATGGCTGGCTGGCAAATGAATGCTAAAAGCTGCACTTACACTATGGCCGCATGGTGGCGCCATTTTCAGCTGGTAAACAGACATCTGCAGGTTTTTCCCGGGATTGTGGGAACCACGCTGTTTATAAGCGTTGGAGCTCTGACCTGCGCTTTTAGTGTAGAAATGTTTTTATGTCTCAAGGCAATTCCAGCCAAGAATTCTGCATTGGCACTCATGTGAGAACTAAAACTACGCTTCTGGATGAATAAACTGGGAACAGACGTTAGATGTGAGAGAAAACCAGGAAGGAGGCCGGAGAGCCCACCGCCATGTGCCCCACGGCCATTTAGAGGCAGGCACGCCACACCACGGGAGAGGTAATGTCAAGAAAACAAAAAGCAGCGCTAAGGCAAACATACGTCCCAATGCTTGTTCCTATGGGGAAATTTGACTTATATTATGTGAGTGTCACATTACACAAGGACGTCAGAAAAAAACATTATAAAATGTGATCACCTCGCACAATCCTACCCTTCAACATGGATTTTCTATTTTTTAAAGGATTTTTATATACAATGCCGCCTTTAGGCCACACTGGGCCTGAGGAGAGAGTGGGCTGTGGGACTGCTTTATACCTGAAGACACCGCGGGGCTTAGCATCTGGGCCGTGATCAGGTCGCAGCCAGAGAGGAGATGAATCAGGGCAGAAAACCTAGATTCCCTCATTCAAAGCTCACTGGCGGGTCCTCTGCTATCACAGGATTCTAGCTATTGCAAAACTCTGTCTTCTTAAGAAATCTTCCCAACCCAATCACAGATTTTATTTTTGTTTTTAAAAATATTTTATTTATTTATTTATTTTGGCTACATGGGAAGGGAGAGAGAAAGAGATGAAGAGAAACATCGATCGGTTGCCTCCCACGCGTGCCCTGACCAAGGACTGAACCTGCAACCCAAGGCATGTGCCCTGACCAGGAATTGAACCGGCGACGCTTTGCCTTGCGGTACGACGTCCAGCCACAGCACTCAGGGCTCACATTTTAAATATGTGAAAAAGTGAGTTATAGTCCATTGGATTCAGTGCTCTGAATAGGAGTTTTGAAAATTAAATATTTCTAGTGAAAATTAGATTAACTTTAAAATATTTTTTAAATTACTATTCATGTGAGATAAAATTTCCAGAACAGAAAAGGAAATATGGGTGAAGGGATAATCTTTTTTCCCTGTCCCCTAGTCTCCACCCTCCCTAGAGGTAGCAACTGTCCCTAGTTTCTTGTGCGAATTTCCAAAAACAGTCATTAACTTATATATTATAATAGAGTGTGATTTTTAGAGCATAGAACGTAACCTATTATACATAATGTAGTACACATGCATAAATGTATACCCTCCTTTTATTTTTTTACACAAATGTAGCATATTATGCACACTGTTCCTTACGTTAATTTTTTTTGAAGTATCTTGGAGAGTTTTCAGTGTCGGTACATAAAGGACTCCACATCCTTGCTAACAATTGCAAGTTTTCCATTGTGTGGTTGCCCATTTAATTCACTAAATGCAGATGGCATTTTAGGCAGCTTCGCCACTTAGAATCGGACTAACAGTAACAGCTCATTCTCCCCTTCTCAAGGGAACATATGGACATTTTCCCAAAAGGACACTTGATTTTATGAGGTTGGTAGAAGCTGACAGTGACCTGTCCTTATGTGCCAGAAGCACTTCTAACTTCATAACCTTTTTTATTTTTTTAAAGGCTGCTTTGTTTTGAAAAGTGGCTGGTTCTAGCCCAAATTTCGAGCTGCCCCAAGTACATTAAATGGCAGTAGGAGGCAGCTGAAACTGGCTTCAGGTCCCAGATAAACTTCGAGCGAGGAAAACAGAGCTGCAGGCTCGCCGGTACCTGCAGGCTGTCTGCCCCCTGTCGTCCTCCCTCTGGGCTGCAGAGCCTTCTGGAAAGCTGCCTCCTGCCCGGGTCAGATTGCTTACACTGCCTCCCAGGCCAGCGTTCCCAACCTTAAGCCAGTGCACATTTATAGAACACTTCCATGTGATCCTCGGGGAAGACGGAGCGCAGGCAGAGGGCAGTGCTGAAAAGCCTCCACGCCAGGAAGAGAGCGCCTCTCCCCCTACCCCGTCTGCTCCCCATGCTAAGAGGACACTGGGTAAGTCAGTCTCGAATCGATGGCTTTTTTCCTTTGAGCAGCGCGTGCCTTTAAACTGGTTTGGCTACTAAGTTTGGAGGGATAAATGCATTTCTATCTATCTGTCTTTTCTTTCCATATTAAGGGAAATTAAAGGTCCATCTGTGCTTCTTCATCTCCCCCCTCGCCGCCTTCTGACTGCCTTCTAAACCACATCAGCTGTTTGTTTTTTTTCTCTCCAATAAGTTAACTTCTGGTAGGATATGGCCCCATGGATCTAGACCTCAGCCTCTTCATCTGTAAAATAAGAACTGAGCCGTTTCTCTGGCCACTGTTACGGTCCTGTCAATTGCAAATAAGGTTTTCAAGTACTTAGGATTCTGTGGAATGAGGCTTTAAGAGAGCACCGAGGGCCCTAATACACCACGACTTTATGAGAGGTGGTTATTTTTCAACTCTCCCCGGTGTTGACTTGGACAGGTTTGCATGGCGTTTCTCCAGACGCACACGAGCACCTTTCCAGACCTGGTCTGCGGCTGCGGGTGCCGCCTGGAGCTGCCGTGTGCGCTCAACAAACACTGTGTGTTTCTGGGTTTGACTTGGTGTCGGTTATAAATGGATCATCTGGCCACAGTGAAGTGGAGTCAAACTGTAAGCTCCTGAGAGCATCCTACAGTCCAGTTAAACACAGCAGAGTGTGTGTGTGTGTGTGTATATGTGTGCACGCGCGCGCGCACGTCCTGTTTTACAGCATGCTCCATGAAACAGAAATGCACGGACTGAAATTCTTTACCCCATGGACAGCCCTTGCAACCTAGTGTGTAACATCTGCACACGTGTGTATATAGCGGGCAAAGCTCCACCCAGTTTTAGCTGCTGCTTCCAAATGGACCCAGCGTCCTTCCTGTGGATACCTGTGGGCTCTTTGGGGTTTCCCTGCCCTCGGGTCCAGGTGACAGTTCCTTGTTGCTTCCCTCTGCTTCCTGCTGCACAGATACCAATACCAGGTGGTTCTTGTGGCTGTTGGTGGTTGAGGTTCAGGGGAAACCTTATTATAGGCACGTTTATTTTACTGTACATGTGCGTAGGTTTTTCTTTTCTTTTCATCTAGTTGCTCCATCTGTTTATAGAGGGGATTTGGGAGGATATAAGAACTCCGCTGTCATCACCTTCCCAGAATCCCACGTGTCGGTGTTCAGTTGCAACCAGGGAGACCAGCTTTTTTCTGCAGTGCCTCTAATAGTGATCAGGGTCTGGCCCAGAAGCACAGAGAATGGGAAGGAAGGGGACAGTGAAAGAGACACCAGGAAAGAAGAATCCAGAGAGCTTGGTGAGTGTGTATTGGAGGGACAAGAAGCGTGTAACACAGAGAAAAATAGAAGATCACCACTCTTTCCTTCAATTCATCTCAGCAGACTTTTAAGTGGCCCCACATACCTGACCCAGGGAGTGAAGTCGTAGTGGCACACCACGCTCACGTCATCCGGGTCCTCGTGCACCTTCTGGGATGGTGGGGGGACGGATACTAAGCAGGGGTCAGAATTTACCACGGGGGTTCCCGGGCCTGGGGCTGAAAGAATAGCTCCTCTCATTTACCGTGAGGGTCCCAGGGACAGGGCTGAAAAAACAGCTCCCCTTAAAGTAACTGGGAAAGTCAAGAGAAGGGTGGGCTTGAGGGAGAAAGAGAGTCCATGTCAAGAGGTTGAGTGACCATGAGTCATCTAAACAGAGAATCGCATCGGAGAGTTAAAACTGCGGCTGGGGTGGGAGGGAGAAGTCTGGGCTCACATCTGAATCCGGGGTCTCGTGCCTGGACTCCAGAGAGGAAGTTACGGGAACCGATGGCATCTCCCGAGGAGAAGAGCAGGCTGGAGGACCCAATGCTGAATCTCATTAAGCGGCTTGAGGGAGAGGGCCAGAGGAACAGCTGGAGAAGGAAAAAGGGAGCAGGGGGTTGTGGCACCTCGTTAAGAGGAGAGAGGTTCGAGGGAAGTGGGGGCGGCAGTGTCAGACGCCGAAGCCGAAGGGGGAGGAGAGCTGAGAAAAGGCAGAGTCGGGGCAACGTTTGAGGGTGTTTTCTACCAGGACATGGTTGGTTATAAGAAAGAGAAACCCACTCAAAAGGGGGAATTGGTTGAGAAAGGAGAGCTCTGGGCGGTAGCGACCCTTCACCCCTGCTTCTGCGCCGCCCCTGCTTCCTTCTGGTCTGAAGGTGGACTGGTCCCTTCCGCTGCACTCCTGGCCCTGGTCCTCCGGCAGGTCGCAGGTCCAGCGCACAGGCCCTGGGCTCCTCTGGCTCAGAGCTGGCCCTCCTTCCCCACCGCCTGTGACTGGCCGCCTGGGATGGGCTCCGAGGGCCCCTGTCAAATATCAAAAAAATGTCAAATGTCAAGTGTCAAAAAAAAAAAAAGAGCGGGAATCGGATTGGCCCAGCTGAAGCCAGCATCGACGCCGGGTCCCATTAGCAGGGTCGAGGAGGAGGGGAGGAGTCGGGGAGGAATAAAGAGTGAGGTTTTTCCAGGGTAAAGAACGAAGGCACGTCCCCAAAAGTTACACGTTCGACTTTGTGATTTCACGGGAGTGGGAGTGAAAGCTGGGGGGCAAGGATGGGCGCTGCTAACTGCAGCTGAGGGGGCGTGTTTAATAAGCCACCGGCGTCCTGTGGGGAGGGGACAGCGCCAGGCGGCTAATCGGGAAGGGAGAGAGCCAGAACAGGTGCAGTGGAGTACTGGCCAGTAGGGAACCACAGTCACTTGGTGCTGAGCCTGGCCCGATGCTCTGATTTTCAAGGAGACCACAAGCCCAGGTGCCACTTGCCCATGACACCCCGGGAGGTCCCATCCCAGCCCCAAAGGCTGAGAAGAGACAGTTTTCAGTCAGATTCCCATTCTTTAGTGAGGGCGGCAAGGGAGCAGCCCTACGCTGACCAAGAAGCCAACACAGGAAAGACCGCTCTTTGCCGGCTGGTCTGAGCCCTTTGAGAGTCGCTGGACAGCTCACAGCCCTAGTCCCAGGGTTCTTCATTCAGCCGGGTTTGGAAGAGGTGCGTTTCGATGTGTTTTTACAACCCTGGCCTGCTGGGGCAGGTTCCTGCCTGTTTCAATCTTGGGAAGCGCCGCGGATGGCAGGAGCAACCCAAGAGAGTTGCCACCTTGGCACGGCTTCAGAAAACGTTCTTCTCACGGAGGCGCTGGAAACCGACATGGTGGAGAGAGTCGCTGTGACGAGGGAGCGCTCTGAGTTTGTGACCTAAAAAGGGGAAATTCTGCTCCAGGCTCCAGTCAGGGAACACAGCCCCCGCCGAGCCCCGTGTCAGAATTGGTGCCAAAGAATTATAAAGAGATTAAACCCAGCAACACAGGCTCCTGCCGTTCAGGCAAAGAGAGCGGGCTCACTTCGTGCAGTCAGGCTGCCTACCTCTCTGTAAAGCTCAGGAATGTGGAAATCGGTTGTGTCTCAGGGTTCTGGGGCTCTGAAGAAATATCCAGATTCTGGCAACGCCTGACCCTCCTCGGGTAGTGGCTGCCTGCGGCGCTTATCAGCTCCCGAGCTGCGAGACTCTGGTAGTGACGGTCACCTTCGTTCTGGCTGTGCTCATTACGTGTGAAAGGACCGTGAAGGACAGGGGTGTGGATGAAACTGGAGTGATCTTTTCTAAGTGGGATCACGTTTTTCATTTCGAGGGGACGTCGTTTTGTAGGTGACTCTGTGAGAGTAAAGAACAGGGCTCTGTATTTAGTTTTTGGTCATGCCACGTCCCACGCCTGTGAACGTGCTCCGGCTGAAACTGCTCATGGTTTGAGTTCGGACCTGACAAAGTCATCTTGCGTCTCATATTTCATAGCAAACAGATGAGACAACCTGCCCTTGAGTCAGTCACAAGATCGTCCACGCGTGCGTTCCAGATCTTTGAAGAGCTCTTGGTGGTGTTGCTGGCTTTGCCGGGGAGAAGTTTCACCCTTGGCATTTGTTGGTATGCACCCCCCTCTGCCAAGGCCAGCCTGCTCCCTGCCCCAGGGCTGTCGGTACTCTTTGCAGTTGCCTCCTCCTCATTTAGCATAAAGAGAAAGATTCAGGTCGACGTGTTGGTCAACAGATGTGGAGGGAAATCATCCAACTACAGAATCCAGCCTTGGAGAAGCAACTAGATGGGCAGCTCCTAGCACTAGGGAACCCGGAAAGTTATCCTTTGGGAGATATACTTGGTGAGATAAGTCCCCGGGTCCACTTCCTGGAAGCCAGGAGGTAGTGGCCGGACACACAGTGCCAGGAACCAAACCAACACGGATGGGAGGGAAGGGCTGAACCAGGACTTGGGAGGTAACCCTCAGACATGCAGGTCTACTTTGGGCACTGGGGCCCACATCTGAGGTTCCACAAGGAAATTCTGTTTGGAAAACGCAAATTAAGAGTAGCTTCAATTGGCAGATCCCCTCGGTGCCGGCTTAGGAAAGGATGGCCTAATCCTCAAGCTCGCCGCTGACAGGCAGTGGTTGGCTCAGCCAGGACGGGCTCGGGAACGAGAGTGGACTGCAGTCACAAATCAAGGAGGAAGGGTTTCTTTTCCTACCCCCTTTTCTTCCTTAATATCTTATTATGGACTTTGCGAGCATTCACAGACGTAGAGAGGATATTACAAAAACCCTCATACACCCATTACTGGTTTCAACAGTTCTCCGCAGGCAGCCAGTCTCATTCCATGTGTTACTTTGCTTTCCATTAATGTCTGTCCCTTCCCCCAGTGTCCATGTTATTTGAAAGAAAATAATTCCTTCATGTGATCTGTAATATTGAAGTCTATATCTCTAAAACATGAGGACACTTCTTCTGTATGAGCATAACCATAATATAATGATCATACCTAAAACACTACAATAATTCCTTGATATTAAAAATTCTGTTAGTGTTCTAATTTATCCCTGATTGCCCACTGTTTTTTTTTTTTTCTTTTTTAAAAATTGGTTTATTTCAATCAGGATCCAAAAAAAGAACCACAAGTTGCTTTGAGTTGAGGTATCTCT